CTGAGATGAGAGCGTTTGCAGCCTCGTGCACATATGAAGCACTGATAGAGCTGATCTTATTTTCTTAGTCCTGAAGACAAAATTTTTAGGTGGAATATGACTAGTGACTGATGGTACAGATTAAGTACATCTACTATGACTAAAAAGGAACTGTGAGCCTAGAACACTAAGCTTTATAGCAATAACCAATTTTCACTTGCGTTTTAGGGGATAGCTAATTTCAACTGCTTAATTCTGCCCAGATGATCGCAAGGAACAGTGGCACAGCGGTGAGAAATCGGCGGCTTCCAACTTCGAAGATGCCAGATTTGAATCCCACATTACTTCCTTACCTCTGAACCAGAAATTCACCCGCGTCGCTTCGGTGCAATCATCCGAGGAACAAACAGCATATCGCTGAATTATGAACGATGAAATTCAATGCCTGGGCGAATAATGATACAGCTATTCTCCTAAGTCAATGTGGCAGTCTTCAACGAATGTTATGAACCCTGAAATTTGGTACGAACGATCATCTCAACTTTAAAGATACTTTGACTACAAACAGGGATGAAAGAATATGGGATGGAATAGGGATACCGCTAATTTTTAACAGCAAATGGCACAAAGAAGTATCATGCCGTATATGCGCTGGTCATACATTGAAATCACTGGCACTGAAACATCCATGGAATTTTTCCCATGACCGACATCCGATAAGCAGCTAAACGCTGTAATCACTCAGAAAAAACGCATTTTCGCTTCAGTGCAGCTAATGGTCTTTCGGATAGTGATAAACCTTCATCAAAAGATATGAAAATTAAGCATCTTCCATAAGCCTACCTCCACAAAAGTGCCTGAGTATGGTAACTCAGATATCCATAAATATTTTATAATCCTATAGCTTATTCAATATATAAAAAAATATCTTTAAAATAAATCTAAACCACCTAAAATGTTTTTTAATTGCTGTTATACTGAGTGTCAGGTCTGATCAGGTGAAAAATTATAGACAAACTAAACTAAGTGTATAAAGTACTATTACCAT